GGTGGTGGTGGTGGTGATGTGGTGATAATGGTGCTAGTGGTGGTGGTGGTGGTGGGTGGTGGTGGTAGTGATGGTGGTGGTGGTGATGGTGATGGTGATACGGTGCTAGTGGTGGTGGTGGTGGTGGTGGTGATAATGGTGGTAGTGGTGGTGGTGGTGGTGGTGGTGGTGGTGGTGGTGGTGATGTTGATAATGGTGCTAGTGGTGGTGGTGGTGGTGGTGGTGGTGGGGGTGGAGTGGTGGTGGTGGTGGTGATGGTGATGGTGATAATGGTGCTAGTGGTGGTGGTGGTGGTGGTGGGTGATAATGGTGGTAGTGGTGGTGGCGGTGGTGATGGTTGTGGTGATGGTGGTGATGGTGATAATGGTGGTGGTGGTGGTGGTGGTGGTGATGGTGGTGATGGTGATAATGGTGCTAGTGGTGGTGGTGGTGGTGATAATGGTGCTAGTGGTGGTGGTGGTGGTGGTGGTGGTGGTGGTGGTGGTGGTGGTGATAATGGTGGTAGTGTGGTGGTGGTGGTGGTAGTGATGGTGGTGATGGTGATGGTGATAATGGTGCTAGTGGTGGTGGTGGTGGTGGTGGTGATAATGGTGCTAGTGGTGGTGGTGGTGGTGGTGGTGATAATGGTGCTAGTGGTGGTGGTGGTGGTGGTGGTGGTGGTGGTGGTGGTGATGGTGATAATGGTGCTAGTGGTGGTGGTGGTGGTGGTGGTGGTGGTGGTGATAATGGTGGTGGTGGTGGTGGTGGTGGTGAGTGATGGTGGTGATGGTGATGGTATAATGGTGCTAGTGGTGGTGGTGGTGGTGGTGGTGATAATGCTAGTGGTGGTGGTGGTGGTGGTGGTGATAATGGTGCTAGTGGTGGTGGTGGTGGTGGTGGTGAGTGATGGTGGTGGTGGTGGTGGTGGTGGTGGTGGTGATGGTGATAATGGTGCTGGTGGTGTGGTGGGGTGGTGGTGGTGATGGTGGTGATGGTGATAATGGTGCTAGTGGTGGTGGTGGTGGTGGTGGTGGTGGTGGTGATAATGGTGGTAGTGGTGGTGGCGGTGGTGGTGATGGTGGTGGTGGTGGTGATGGCGGTGGTGGTGGTGGTAGTGGTGGTGGTGTCAACAAGAATTCCGGTGGATGATGCAAGTGGATAGGAATGCGGAAGGAGAGAATAGATGAGATGGATAATGGTGATGAGAATATGGATAAGTTTACGTGAGTGAGGAGGGGAGTGAGTGGATGAATGAATGGGAGTGGGAATTAGGGAGAGCGAATGAGGGTATGAGTGGATGGATGGGTGACGATGGAAGTGTGGATGAGAGTATGAATGGGTAAAATAGAGATGGATGTGTGGATGAGGGTATGAGAGGATGGATGGATGAGTGAGGTGTGGAAGGTGTGAATGGAGGTATGAAGAACTGGATGAAGGGAGGGGGAGAGATCAGAAGAAGGAGGAAACGAAGGAAGAAGGGGAGGAGAAAAGGGAGGGAGACAGCATGAGAAGGAAATAGGTGTTTGAGAGAAGCAGAAGGAAGGAAGGAAGGAAGGAAGGAAGGGGGGTAAGAGCCCCAGATAGTGCTACGCCTTTTTCCCGAGTGAGGGAGTCAAGCAAACTTTCAGAATGCAGATCTGGCCAACGCAATGCGGTTATGACCAGACCAGTCCAGGACGGGGGGGGGTTGGCAGGTGGCCGCCCAGACCCTCCCAGGGGCCCCGCGCTCTCCTGGTTATTAATTAAACAGTTCAAGGGCAACAGATACACTAGTAAAAGAAGGCTGTCATAAGTCACCAAATGAACACTTGTACAACTTAACCAAATGGATGCAAGTGAAAAGAAGGTTGTGTCCAACGATTACCATAAACGTCATAGATATAACCGTAGACAGCAACATAAATAAATTTGCTGATGACACTAAAACAGGGCGTATAGTTAGTTACAAGACTAGCGAGGTCATCCTAAAACTATATCTTGCGTTTGTGAGAACTCACTTGAATTACGCAGTTCAGTTTTGGTCACCGTACTGCAGAATGGATATAGAATCCCTAGAAAGAATTCAGCGGAGAATGACAAAACTAATCCCGGGCATTAGGAACCTTGAGTACAGAGACAGGTTAAAGCATCTTAATTTGCACTCCCTCGAGAGACGTAGAGTGAGGGGCGATATGATAGAGGTGTATAAATGGAAGGCAGGGCTAAACAAAGGGGACTTTACAAAGGTACTCAAACTATCCAACCAGGAGCGAACTCATAACAATGGTCTTAAATTAGACAAATTTAGATTTAGGCGCGAAATAGGTAAACATTGGATGAGTGGAACAAGTTGCCAAACATCATCATTTACTCGAATACGCTGGATAGTTTCAAATACAGGTTGGGTGGATATATGAGTGATAGGGGTTGGGTGTAAACGGGACTGCCCAGTATGGGCCAATAGGCCCGCTGCAGTTTCCTCCATTCTTAAATTACAAACTTGAAATAAAGGAGAGGGAGTATTGCTACTGGCTCGAACATGTATTATTGCAGTCAGGCTCACTGTTAAAAAAGAACCGAGTTGTGTTCAGAGCTTCGAGTACAGTATTCCAAGAACTCATTCCTATATAAACAAAAAATGTATACTTCAAATCCTTCAGTTTCTTAAATCTCTCAATGGTTCCTTCCCTAATGCAGAAATGGAGTATTGGATTTTGTTGACAGTTCCAGTCACAGTGGCATCAGGAGAGCCAAGTTTTTCTAAACTCAAATTGATATAAAACTATCTAAAGACAACTATGTCCCAAGAGAAGTTGAGTGGACTGGCTATGATCTCCATCGAAAAGGAACTGGCAGCAAGTTTGTGCTATCGTGAACTGATAGAAGAGTTTGCTGGAAAGAAATCAAGGAAGGTTAATTGTCTGAAGTAGACTGTGTCTGCTACTTGGCAAATGCTTTTTGAGAAGTCATACAAAATTCCATTATTTTTTAGTTAGCAATTATGTTACCACGATTTTTGTCTTTACATCCAGACTGTCTTTTGGCATTTGTCTTGTTTATGTTACAAAAATATATAAAACAATATTTTATTTTCCGTGTAAATGCATGAATGATGTCACCAGGTCTTAAATTGTATGTTTTTCTTGTGTATTTCCGAATCTCATTTTAAGTAATTTCAAAACTTCTACAACAGTTATCACATACGGTCTGGGGGTCGCACAACTATTCTCCATATTTTGTGTTGTAATACTGTATAATTACCACCTGTTTCCATTACTTTATTTTAGTAGTTATTAAAATAAAACAGGATTTATATGATGACTTACCCCGGGCCAGCCCGGTTATGACGATGGTACACCTGATGGAAAGTTACCCAATCTGTAGTGAGTTTCCTATCTCGGGTGACCGAATGTCCTTACATCCTCAGTATAGTAGGAATAAACTTGATGTTACGTATGTGGATGGATATTCTCACGTCATTGTGTGTGTGTGTGTGTGTGTGTGTGTGTGTGTGTGTGTGTGTTTATTTAATCAGTGTAAATCTGCATGATGTAATTATCGGAAAAAAACACATCATCAATCAATCAGCAAACAGAAAGAAAAATTATATATGACAGGTAAGAGAAGCGTAGACCAACACACCCACTGTGGTAGGGAGGCGTTGTGGTTCCCTCACTCGGATGTGGTAAACTGCTAACACTTCCTGGGGGTGACCTCACCAGGATACTACTTTTAATGGAAATATTACCCAAAAGACAGACACAAAGAATTTTCGTGGAATAAGTCTTGTGAAGGCGGCAGATGTTAAAAGGGGAAATTACCTTCTACCAGGTCAGGTGTACGGGCGGGAAGCCGCTCCCTGGCGTCTCTCTTACTCACCTGGACGATGCCCTCAGCTCATTGGTCACAGTAAACGTTACCAGGTGTCGCTATATCAGATTATTACAGGTGAATTACAACATTGTCTGAACGTTTTAGACAAGTATATGATAAAATAGGAAATGGTAATGTCGGTAAGAACTAAAGTGAACGGAACGGAACGGAAGTTAAGGAAGTCTGAGAATGGTTTTACCTCCTCCTATACATACTGAATGAGTGGGTGACGTCATGGAGTAGTTATGTTACTCGCCTCCTGGAATACTGTTGCCGGAGTCAGCCTTTTTAATGAATTTATAAGTAATTACAGTAATCTTTGGATAATTTTTTAACAATATTAAGTGTGTTGGAATATAAGAAACAACATTATCCCGTAAATAAATGATGCGTTAAGGCTAAACACAGGAAATATAGCAAGTTGGAAATAGCTAATCGGCAATCGCTTCCAGCTACACATTGGATGTATATAACAGACCTGATCTCAGGGCTTTGTATCAAACGGAAAGTGATCGTCTCGAGAGGAACACTAAGAGAGATAGCTGCTGATCTGAGGCGCGACACTTAACACAAACTCGTGCATTGGATTATTTTATCATCATGAAGTCTCCGTTCAAGAATGTTGTCACCAAAGCCACATTTTGGAAAAGCGAGGTACGTGAGCTGCTGTATTCCCTCCCAGCGATCAAGAGCTGTGTATTACCTCCCTGTGTGAAGTCCTGAGTTGTTACGTAGCTAATCTGTGTCTAGATATTAGAAGTTTGAAAATAGATCAGTGTCCTTTATCTAAAACGGTGATCAGAGGGTCCAGACTTCCCTGTGTGTGTGAGGCGCCCCTGTGTGTGTGTGAGGTGGAACTTCAGATTCACTATCGTTTCTTCAGTACTAATGAGGGGAAGACTAACTCGAGAGTGTTTACATGTTGTCGTCATCTAACTCCGTTTACCCAAAATACTTACTAAAATACTAAGTACATTCGAGAGGTTTAGACACGACAGTTGTCCAACATTAGAAACAAAATAAAAATTAATGAGTTATGTAATGACTTAAAAAATGACAATATATGTCTCGTCTATAGCTGCCTCATTAACCATATTATTTCCTGAGCTATATTAACTAGTGTAACACATGTGGATGAATATATACTAACATGGGCTTTATTCTTGCAGGGGAACATTAACCCCGGGTTCGAGGACGGCGATGGAGAGAAGCAGAAAGATGCTACGGTGGAGGTGACCGTCAGCGAGGTGAGTTACCCCTTAATTTTTTTTTTACCTTTTTCTCTGACTGTCTACAACCACCAACAACAATAACGAGTCAGTGTGATATTTACTAGTTATGGTCACGTCTTTGTTAAGCTAAAACTAAATATATTTATGGAGAGAGAAAGTGAGCAAGGGTCTTAATGTCACGACCTTCTGCAGGAACCAGGCGAGCCGAAGAGAGAGCAATGGGCCAACCCGATCGAGTTTCTCCTTTCCTGTATCGCCATGTCCGTCGGCCTCGGGAATGTGTGGAGATTCCCCTTTGTGGCACTGGAGAACGGCGGTGGGGCGTTCCTCATCCCCTACATCCTGGTGCTGCTCTTCATCGGCAAACCTCTCTACTACATGGAGCTCTGCATGGGCCAGTTCTCTTCCTTCGGATCGGTCAAGGTGTGGGAGGTGGTCCCAGCCTTCAGAGGTAAACACCGCCGCTGATAATATTAATTTCTATACAATTTTACACCAATATGTTGCTAATATAATTCTTGTTTATACTCATGTCTGTTTATACATCAATATGTCATTAATCGCTCTCAAACAATGTTGTTGTTTTTTTACTGAATGTGTATGATGTTTAACTCCTGTCTGTTCCCCTTTCAGGTGTGGGCTACGGGCAAGCCATTGCTACCTGGGCAGTGGTCACCTACTACGTCTCTCTCATGGGCCTCACCGTCTACTACTTCTTCGCCTCCTTCAGCCCCGTGTTGCCGTGGTCAGTGTGCGGCTCCTGGTCCACCTCTATATGTGTGGACGCCAGCACCAACGTGACGGTATTGGAGGAGACACTGGGCGTCAAGGCAACCAACCTCACCTCCGCCGCCGAGGAATACTTCTCGTGAGTCTCTCCTCTCCTCTCTACCTCAAACTTTCTCTTTGCTAAGACGACACTGAGGAATAAACCAATTCTGGCGGCTCATAAATTCACTGTGGCCTTTATCTTTAACAATTATTGTCTACCAGTCATACAGTAGCAACAATTTATGCAAGAATTTTATTTTGCCAGTTTTAACTGTTACAGGAGAATATACTTCCCTAAATCTATAATTTGATATTAAGAAAATTTTTGATCCTCAACTGTGTTCCTTGACCAACAGGAAGGACGTACTGAAGATAGATCCTGCAGGTCTAGCCAACGGTCTAGACGCCCCAGAGTGGCGACTGACGCTGTGTCTCCTCTTCTCCTGGGTGGTGCTCTTCGTGGTGTTGGCCAAGGGCGTCCAGAGCTCCGGTAAGGCGGCCTACTTCACCGCCCTCTTCCCCTACCTCGTGCTTTTTATCATGCTGATCCGCGGAGCCACGCTGCCGGGAGCCTATAAGGGCGTCCTCTTCTTCATCACACCCCGATGGGAGAAGCTGCTGGAGCCTGGGGTGAGGCAACCTTTATACTTGTATATAGTGAAGCATTTTTCACAACTTGTCAAAGGGTATAACTTTCTTTGTAAAAAAAGTGAAACAATGGGCATGTTCTATAAAGGTTTACATTCACTTGCACACCCCCTAATACACCAGGTGTGTGAAGGTAGTATGTGTTGATAACGAGGTGGTCCCTACAGGTATGGTACGCCGCCGTCGACCAGTCCTTCTTCAGCTTGTCGGTGGGCTTCGGGTCCATCGTGATGTTCTCCTCATACAACTCCTTCCGTCACAACGTGTATCGTGACGCCGCCATCATTTCCGTCACCGACACCCTGACCTCACTCCTCGCTGGCTTCACCACCTTCGCCATCCTTGGCCACCTCGCTGATACCCTCGGCGTGGATGTGAAGGATGTGGTAAAGGGTGGCGGCACCTCTCTGGCCTTCGTCAGTTATCCCGATGTGTTGTCCAGGTTCCAGTACGTCCCTCAGTTCTTCGCCGTGTTGTTCTTCCTCATGTTGTTTACCCTGGGAGTGGGCAGCGCCTCCGCCCTCACCGGCTGTATCATCACCATCATCTGTGACCAGTTCCCTCATTTTAAGAAGTGGATGGTGACGTTGGCGGTGTGTGTCACTGGCTTCCTCCTTGGCCTCTTCTACGTTACCCCTCAGGGCCAGTATGTCCTCGAGCTCATCAACTACTACGGCGGAGTAAGTACTCCCTCTTGTGTTGTAGTCTGAGTTTTACTCTTCAGCTTTTATGCTACAATGTTGCAGTCAATAACTCATATTTTAAAAAGTGTTCCTAATTTCATGTAATTGATTCAATCTGTAGAAAGTTGCATTATTGAAGCTGAACGATTTTTGGGGATCTTAATCTTTGTATTAATCATATATTTTCTGTCTCAGGGGTTCATCATCTTCATCCTGGTGGTGTTCGAGGTGGCGGCCATCCATTGGGTTTACGGAGTCAACAACTTCTGCCGCGACATCGAGTTCATGTTAGGCAGGAAGACTGGCTACTACTGGAAGTTCTGCTGGGCCATCCTCATCCCTGCGCTGCTCTCCATCATCTTCATCTACAGTCAGACCACCGCCAAGCGACTGGCAGTTGGGTCATACGTCTTCAGCTCCGGCGCTATCGGTGAGGCTCTCTCCACTCTCCAGTACTTGTCTGTTGAGTGTAATGATTTACGTGATGGAATATTGTGTATGTGATTCTGATGTTTTATTAATTGTTTGTCTTGTGTTCTTCAGCCTTTGGCGTCTGCCTGGCCGTGTTGGCGTGCTTCATGGTGCCCATATTCTTCGGTGTAGAGCTTATGCGTACACGCAACGGATCCGCCTCGTTGTGGGAAGCCATCTTAAAGACCTTCAAGCCAACTGCTGAGTGGTGCCCCAAGGACCCCATCCTTCGTCAGGAGTACCGCCAGTTCATCGCCAAGGACAAGCCTGCCCTGGAGGGCATCGACAACCCCATCCCTCCCGTGGCCTCCACCGTGTCCATGACGTCACTCCACAACAGCTCATCACAAGCCAACATCGCGGAGTACAACACTAGAGTCTGAGACATCACAAAGTCTTCCGTCAACAAAACTGATCAAAAAATTCTAAGGTTATTTACCGTTTACAGAATAAGAGTTGACTCACGAGAAGCAGCAGTGTCCAGGTGGGCCTAACACTGAACAAGGTTCTCACTCTGTATCACCATTGTTACGTCCAAGGCACAAACCAGACATCTGTGATCTTAGGATATGCCAGTACCTGACTATCACGGTAAACATCGTGTCATCCACACCACCTCACCCATAAAGTTGTTCATTATATTATATCCTCCAGCATCACACTCGCCTCGCCGTCACTATCATAGAACTGTATCATTATAGTGTAGAAGTTGGTTCATCTCGGCTGTTGCTACAATCACCTCACCCGTAATTCTAGTACCATATTAAGACAAGTTATTACAGTATAAACATTCCAGGATGAATACCGGAGTTCATTAAGAACATTTTATAAATGTTCTTTACCCTCTCTCACTCACACTAGGTTGTGATGTATCTTGTAGTTGGTTGTGTAGCCACTTAGTGTATTTTATGTACAGCAATCATATTTATACGTGAATATACTTAAAACACATACAAATTAATAAATTATGAATGAATATGCTTGTTTTTTTTTAAACCCATCGTATGTTGTATATCCAAACAGGGAAAGTTAACTAGCCCCTTCTCTACTGGCACGACAATGATAAACATCTGTAAATTGTTTTGTTTTCAGTTTTTAAAGACAAAAAGTATACACTTACTTGCTCATATCTTAGTAAACATTAAGTTGATTCACTCCAGGACCGTCTAAGAAAACTATAAATGCTTATTTCTATTGTGGTAGCGAAGAGGATACAGTCGAACCTATGTCCTTATGAATAGTCGACAGTGTATCTGTTCAGACATCTACCTAATCTTAATCATATATAGCTGATTATCTACCTATCTCTAATTATCTGTTTATCTATATATCAGTTTATCTATATATCTATCTATGGTGAAGAGAGGGGGAGGAGAGCACGTTTGATAGTATGTTCATAATTTCTAAGTTAACCCATTCCATTAAATAAGAAAACGACAAACGAATTATTAAAAGAAAACTTTTAACGGGATAACTAAAATAAAGTTGTAAGCTGTAGTTATTGCCATTTAAAACATTACTCTGCCTTGTTTATTTGCTCACATGATTCTCTTCAAGGTTATCATACAGTATCTTGTTGTTAAAGGTTATTTTATTGATTGGGGTATACACTCTAGCAAGGTGAACTGTTGCCCAGGTATATAATTTTCTTAGGGCAATAGCTGTTTACTTCTTGTTGCCTGTCCTCCGTGATGTCTTGACTGAATCACTGATGTTGTGTCTAGATTATGTAATATTAAACTGAGTGAAGAAATAGTCGTGGTTTAAGTTTGTCGTCTTTATCAGGATCATAAAATTATCTGTCGGGTTTTGTTTGAAGGGTTACTAAGCCTATGCAGTCTTCGGCCTATTTGGGAATTCAAAACATTTCAGTTCTGGGATAATCTTCGTCATAAAAAGTTGTAATGTGATTCTACAGGTGTGCCAGGTGAGTGATCAATCTCTCTCTCTCTCTCTCTCTCTCTCTCTCTCTCTCTCTCTCTCTCTCTCTCTCTCTCTCTCTAGTTTTACGTATGTTCATTGAATGAGGCAGCTACCACTACTTCACAAAGATGATGGTCCCCTGAATCCCATAAATCACAGATACGATGATACTTTACTATACCTTGAAAGCAACTCACACACGCCTACAAGACCAGTATTTTTGACAAGAATAAAGAACTCTTCTATAACCAGCCACAGGATGGAACGAGCGACCATGTTTACAACTGTGACGTCACATTATCATCATGGCAAAATCCAACCAATCACAAGGATGTAAAAATTAACCAATCACAGAGAGCAAGAAGCTTTGATGTTTACACTCGTTGAATCATATCTCAGGAAACTCCTCAACCTTTACCGTTTTCTTATTGATTATTCCACTGCTATATTTACCTCAATGAGATCAGTAATTACAGCTGGGTTCTCTAATTTATAAAAAAAACTGTTGTATTTCTGGCCGCCTTTTCAACCATACCGACCAGAATTGTGACAGTGTTGAACTCTCAGGATACGACAGTGAAATTTCGAGAGTGCAGTGATACAGTGATGCCGTTGTTCTGTCCCGTGATACTGTTGTGTGTTTAACTTTGACAATTTAGGAGATAAATAGATATGTATTAATGTATATGGGTCAGAACACACACACACACACACACACACACACACACACACACACACACACTAGTAATACAATCATACCCACTGTGTGAGGTAGGGTGAGAGGTGAGGGGTGAGTGAGGGTGAGGGTGAGAGAGGGGTGAGAGGTGAGAGGTGAGGGGTGAGGTGAGAGTGAGGGTGAGGGTGAGTGAGGGTGAGGGTGAGAGTGAGAGGTGAGGGGTGAGAGTGAGAGGTGAGGGGTGAGGGATGAGAGTGAGGTGAGGTGTGAGGTGAGGTGAGTGGGGGGTGAGGTGAGGGTGAGAGTGAGGTGAGGTGTGAGTGTGGGGTGAGTGGGGGTGAGAGTGAGGGGTGAGAGGTGAGTGAGGGTGAGTGAGGGGTGAGAGTGAGGGGTGAGAGTGAGGTGAGAGGTGAGAGGTGAGAGTGAGAGGTGGAGGTGAGAGGTAAGAGCAAGACGAGTAACAGTGACTGACAACAATAATATTTATTCGCGTCGTAAACACAGACAGGTCTCCCTCACCCGTCAGCTTCTCTCCCTCCCTTCGTTTCCCCCTCTCCTTCTATTCCTCCCTCACTCCCTCCCTCCCTTCCTTCCTTCCTTCATTCATTTCTTCCTCCCTCTCTTTGCCTCCCTCCCTTACCCTCTCTCCCTCCCTTCCTTTTTCCTTTCTCTCTCTCCTTCACTCCCTTCCTCTTTTTTCCTCCTTTCGTCCTTTATTGTCCTCTTTCTTTCCCTCCCTCCCTCCCTCCCTTCTTTCTTTCCTTCCTCTCCCTCCCCCTGCGTCTTCCCTTTTTTCTTCCCCCTTCCTCCCTCTTTTGCTCCCAAACCTCCGCCAAGTTTTCCTCCCCCACGTTTACTTAGTCTAGACGACGCGGAGAGAGGAAAAGAAAGTGGGAGAGAGAAATGAGAGGAGGGAGGGAGGGAGGGAGAGAAGTTGGAGGGATACATTAATTAAGAGGATTTGGAGGGGTGATGGATGCTTGCCTTTGTCTCCTCCAAATGTGTGTATGTGTATGTGTCTGTGTACTAGGAGACTCGGGGCGCTAAAGAGAACAATCATGGTCTTGGAGTAAGGCCAAAGGAGGAGGGGTGATAAAAGGTTGAGAAAACTTGCACGTGTTAATTCTCAGACCTTATATATCCATCTCACCAAATCGAGCGTTTTTTTGTTTTGTTTTTTACCTCTCCTTGTAGCTCACAGCTCATGGTAGTCCTGATCGTCTAGCTGAGTTCAGAGACGTCGCTACAAATACAACTTCTGGGAACTACTCATATGAAGCACTCAGAGAACTTTCAGCTTCAACCCCAAAATAGAAATAGTTAGTAAACTCCAGTCAATGTTTACTATATATGAGAGGATGATTATAAAATGGATAAAAGGTTGTAGGGGTTAATAAATGAAGCGAACGGAGGAGAAAGAAGGTATCAGATGAGAGTACACTTGTCGCGGAGAGTGTTTTTATTTAGACACATAGGTAACAGATTTAGCAGACGACAAGAAGTGTTCAGTGATGCACCTGTTTCCTCACTCGCGTCAGGTGCACACACACACACGAGATCTCTCTTAGCTGACCTAGTGTTGGTGTCCCAGCTATACACGTGATGTTATACCTGTGTCCCAGCTATACACGTGATGTTATACCTGTGTCCCAGCTATACACGTGATGTTATACCCGTGTCCCAGCTATACACGTGATGTTATACCTGTGTCCCAGCTATACACGTGATGTTATACCTGTGTCCCAGCTATACACGTGATGTTAATGGGATAACTATTTGACTTCAGTAATAACAATAAACAAACCCGGATTTACAGTATACATCATCAGTGTCGTGTTAAGGTGGAGTGGACGGGTGACAATATAGATGATTTTAAAATTTGCCAAAAAGTGAAGCGGTGAGGGAAGGCGTGTCTCTCCCTCCCCCTGTAGCCAGTGTGAGAAAAAGAAACTTTGATCTCGCCCGATGCAAATAGTTATAAAGAAAATAATTGTAGTAGGGTTTATAGAGAGAACATATTTGGCATACCACCACTTGACTATATTTATATACAGTGCGTTGGAACAGTCAAGAGCCACAGTAAAATATAATGAATTAAAACGACACTGCTTGTTGGGATCTGCTGCCGGGAATAAACAATGGAGGGTCATAATAAAGAACTGGAATCCTCTTTAAGGGTTTCGGAACCTGTTTTGTACTTATAATCCATGTATAAGTATTGTGGGTTTATGTCTAGTCTTAATGACGAACACTGACTTGGAGGTCCAGAGATAAACAAAAGAATATTTACATCATCCATTGTAGTTTTGGCATCTATACTTTTTTCCAGGCGTTTATGAATTCAGATTCCTTAAAATAAAGAGTACGAAAATAAACAAAGTGTCTACTGGCCTCAAAAAACTCATTTGTAAACGATACGAAAATTGTATTGAAACAAAAAACTTTGTTTCGATTAAATAAAGAAATATTTGGTTTTCAGGCGTTTTCGGCAGTTTGGTCGATTTTGTAATACTCAAGGGTTTAATGAACACACACACACAGGAACTTAACTCATGGTGAACTTGACACCATTAGAACATCATAACATTGCTACCACAATGTTTAAGCAGATTTTTATGATGTTGGATGTATGGGCGGATGGATGGATAGATGGATGGATGGATGGATGGGCGGGTGGATGGATGAATGGGCGGATGGGCACTGTGTGGGTGACTGGCTGGCTGGCCGGCTGGCTGGGTAAATGGGTAGGTAGGTAGGTGGGTGGGTGGGATAAGTTGTGTGTGGGTGTCCTCTCCAGCACTGACTGCATTCTAGCCACTCTCCCATGTGTGTGTGTGTCACCCGTAACTAGTGAGGGGTAGAATGTGTCTTTACTGTTCCTTTGTGTCTACGGCTGCTTCTCCCTCTCCTACTTATCCTCTCATCTTCTCCTCTTAACTCTTCCTCTTTCTTCCTTCTTCCCCCAAGTCTGCTTTATGTCCTGTGTCATATTTTGCCGTTTGTGTTTGTGTATAATAAAAATAACAATAATAATAATTAACGGTTTATTGAAAGATCATGGCAGCCAGAAGGCTGAAAATATACAGTTACATAATTGGGGAATGGGTCACTTGATTTACAAATAATATACAAGTAACATAAGTGATACAAATATGATATATAATGACTAGGTGGGGAGAAGGTCATACTACAGGGCATTTCAACATTGTGACAGTGCAAAAAGGTAAGATTGAATGGAAGTGAACACACTGGTTGATTACAAGCTATTGATAATTTTTACAATGGTTGGGAATGGGCTGTTCTTATAGCGATCAGTTTGTGCTCGTATGGGCTGGATGCGGTGGTGTGTCGAACAGCAATTCTCGGACGAGGGATCT